CTAGTCTGATTGCTGCATTTGGTTTTGGGCAGGGATAGTTCTCCCACTCTCACGACCTCCCTGACACAGGTGTTGAGGGACTGGAAGGGGGCCATCTCTTCCTCGACCATGCCACTTTATGGCAGATGAAGGGCAGGGACTGATCTCCCTCACTCACATTCTATGGGCCAGTTCACCTATGTGCCCTGCCATAGGGTCAGCTCTACTGTGCTGCCCAGGCAAGGTGCAGGGCCCACTTGCCCAAGTGTTGTAGCTGTTAAGGGAGAGAGTCTGCTCTCTTACATGCTACAGGTGCTAAGGAGCCACCACATGGCATGGTTGAGACCAGCTCTCCACTCTCAAGCCCTCAGGGCCAGCTTGCCTGCACCCCCTGAGAACAGAACCAGCTCTATTTTGCTACCCAGTCAAGGTGCAGGACCAGCTTTCCCAAATGCTGCAGCCAGTGAGGGGCAAGGCCAGTTCTCCCCAGTGTTATAGCATGTGAGAGGATAGGCCAACTCTGTACAGCCCCATCTTCTCAACCTTCTGTGATAACAAGCACACAGGTAACACAGACCATGGCTGGAGTTGGACCACTGACCCAGACATGGGTCTTGGCAGCAGCCCTATCACTATGATCCTTGGATGGCAAGCAAGTTATCGACCTTAGCCTGCTCCTCACCACCTTCACCTCTTCAGATCTGTCTCTCTCCACAGTACATGAACCATTCTGTCTCTACCTCCCATACTCCACGATATATTTGCTTACTATAATAGTGTCTGACCTCTAGGCCATACAAAAATACCTTCTGAGTCCATTCAGTTTGCATGTGCATAATTTCAGAACTGACCACCTGGTATTGAATATAATTGGTTGGCTCTTCCATGTAAAAAGACTACTGTTCCTGTTTGCTGCATCCCTTAGCTGCCTATAGTTCTTTGTCTAAAGGTGGAGGCCCATGGGTATTCTCCCTGGTGATGTCCCTGTTCAGATCTTGTTTAGGCAGCCATATTGCTTCATAGCTGAAGCTTCTCTGTCACTTCTAGGATATACAATTTCACAGATTTCCTGGTACTCTGCCACTTATAGTCATTCTACCCTCTCTTTGTTCTGCCCTGAGTCTTATGCTCAGGAGTTCTATTGCAGATGTATCCACTGAGGCTGGGCACACCACTACCAGGTGATCTCTGCATTTTGACCACTTGTGGGTTTTTTTTAAGGGTTTCTGCTGCATAGAAAAACTCCCTTGGGTGGTGTTGGGAACAAGACCTAAATCTGAGTATAAAGACAAGTTTTATAATGCAGTTAGAAAGGATACTGGTTTATTAAAGTAGCTGTAGTAGATTCTCCCCTAAGATCCATAACTTCACTATCACTAGCTCCAGGAATTTGGGTAGGTTTCCAGAACCAGGCATGATTTCCCTCCTGTTGAACTTATCTTAAGTGCAATTAGACAGTTCTTGTTTTCCACAAAGATGATTGCCACTACTGCATATTTAGGGATTTCTTGCCATACTGGTCTTTGTTGTGGTTCATAGGCTCCACAGCAAGGGAGCACTACTGGCTGCTTCCCATCCTTAGGTGCTTGCACAGAAACTTCTGATTCCTTGGAAGCTAGTCCTCAGAGAGGAGGCTTTCAGGTCAGGTACAACAAATCCTGGAAGTCGAGTGTCTTAAGTGCATGGTGTATTCAGCAATAATAATGTATCTTCCATACCTGAAAGGCAACAAACAGCAATAGCAATAGCCTGTGTTATGTAGGAAATTTCTGGCATTCCTCTGATCAACAACTCACAATAGGATTTCTCATGTCTGATATCAGGATTTTTATTAAACAATCTGCAGATTTTGGAGGGGCATTTTCAGCCTAAGTGACCTAACTTCATTTAAACTTTGTGTATATATGCATATAAATATACTTATATGTATTATCTGTAGTTTTGGATAAAATGAAAATAATATGATTCCTTATAATTTTTTCAAATATCTTTAATGTTATTTTTCACTCTTTCTCTTTCTGTATTGATTTCCTCTTCTCCCCAGTTAAAGACTCTCTCAAATTTTCCCTATTTTCCTCTAACTGAACTGGTATCCTGCCCTCTGTAGCACTTCCCACATGGGACCTTTTTACTTTCTGTTTCTTGATTATGTGTTTACTTCAGGTTATATATTCACATATGAAGATGTAGAGCTAGATATCATGAATGACAGAAAATATGAGATGTTTCTTCTAGGTCTGGGTTGCCTCATTCTATATAATCTTATCTATTTCATTCACTTACTTACAAATTTCATGATTTCAATTATCTTTATACCCATATATTATTCTACAGTATATGTGACACATTCTTATTGTCCATTCACCAGTAAAAGGATATTTAAGTTGTTTCAATTTTCTATCTATTGTGACTAGAGTGGCAATGAACATGGATGAGCAAGTAACTATGGACTAGGATATCAAGTTCTTTGGGCAGATGCCAAGGAGTAGTAAAATGAGTCAAATAATAGGGTTTTTTTTTTTTTTTTTTTTTGGAGAATTTTCCACACTGATTTCCTGAATGGCTAAAATAGTTTGGATTTCCACCAACAATGGATAAGGTGGCTCCTTTCCACAGATTCTCCCCAGAATTTTATGTTTTATTGATCATTGCAATTCTGAATAGCATAAGATGAAATTTCAGTGGTTTTTGTGTGTGTTTGACTGTGTGTGTGTGACTCTGTGTGTGTGTGTCTGTGTGTGTGTGTGTCTGTGTGTGTGTGTGTGTGTGTGTGTGTGTGCATGCACACGTGGCAGGTTATTGCTTGTTTTAGGGGGTTGTTCTTTGTTTTACTTGTATTACCCTAATTGGTTGGATGACGAGAACTTCTTAACATATCTTTTTTAAGAAAATTTTATGTTGACCTTTGGAAATACTCTTTTCATATCCATAATCCATGTTTGAATTGGTCATTTCTTTTTCTGATTCTTTCTTTTCTTTTCTTTTTGTCTTTTTAATTCTTTATATATTTGGATATTAATCCTTTATTAGATATATAACAGAACACAATCCACTCCTGTCTGTGGGCATTCTCTTCATTTGGTTATTTCCTTGACTATGAAAAAGTTTACTAGATTTATAAGGTCCCACTTGTCAGTTGTAGGTCTGAATTTTTGGGCAAAAGAGGTCCTATTCAGGAATTCCTTTCCTATGCACATATATATTGTAGGGTACTACCTATGTTTTCTTCTACCAGTTTTAATGTTTCAGGTTTCACAATGAGACCTTTGATCCATTTAGAATTATTTTATATTCAATGTGATAGATAAGTGTCTAATTACATTCTTCTGCATATAGACATGCAGTTTTCCCAGCACCATTTGTGGAAAATATAGTCTTTTCTACAGTGCATATTTTTGGAATCTTCATCACATATCAGACGGCTGTGTTGTTCATGATTTCAATGGATAATGTCAAGATTTTTAGTTGATTGAAGATGAGTTTTTCTGTGGGACTGACATGCATAGCCTTTTCTGTGTCAAGGTACATTTGCTCTAGTCTTACTCATGACTTTCATCATGAACACATGTTGAATTTTGTCAAAGTGCTTTCTATATGTATTGAAATGATTATGTGATTTTTGCTTTTAGGTTTAATTATGTGATTTATTACATTCATTAATTTGGGAATGTTGATGAATTCCCACGTTTTCCAAAATAAAGAAAAGGCCTAGGCACAAGTAGCCAAAAGAAAAAAAAAGATGCCACTCAAATTAACAGAATTAGTACTGTACTGGGAAGCATCACAAAATATAACACAGCAATCCAATATATTATAAGAAAATATTTGAATAAACTGCAGCCTGTTAAGTTGAAAAAACATAGAAGAAATAGATAATTTTCTAGATGCATGTAATGTACCAAAAGTTAAACTAAGAATCCACCAAATTTTAAACAGACCTGTAACAAATGAGGAAATTCAAATAGCAACAAATCCTTGCAACAAAAAAAAAAAACTGGTCAGGACCAGACAGATGCACAGAAAAATCCAACCAAAATTTCATTGAAGATCTCACTCAGATACTTTAAAATTATCCAAAAGAAGTAGAAAAAGAAACATTTCTAAACATCTTCTATAGCACTAGTACTACTCTACTACCAAAAGAAAGTAAAGATACAAAAAAAACTGACCAATAGCCTGGTAAAATTACATTTTAAAATATTCAATAAAATATATGCAAAGTGTATTTGAACATATATCAAAAAGATTATCCACAATGAACAAAACAAGTTTTAATTAACTAAAAGGTGATAAATAGCATATACTCTTGATCATCATTTCATTTCTGTATGGAAACAAGAAAATCTCTTAACCAATTAAGTCCCTCTAGAATGGTCTTATACAAAGACATAAAGAAAAGATGGTCAGAATATGTGGTCTATACGATAAATGTTTCAGCTGAAGATAATTATACTTATTTATGAGGTACAATGTGATATTTCATACATGTGAGCATTGCATATGGATGGAAACAGGGTAATTGGTCAATTTATACATGAAACTTTTTCCTTCTTTGCTTTTTACAACTATTCTACCTGGGGTGATAATGGTTCTACTGTGTTGTGATAAAATTGAATGTTTTTAAAATATTTCAAGACTGTGAGATTGCTTTATTTTCCTGTACAGTAGACACTGGCTTCATGTGAGTATTGGTCACTTGTATGAGCAAGGTCCAAACTGAAATGTGTTGTAAATATTCAATATACACAGGCTTTTAATAATGAAAAGAATTAAAACAAAATTCTTGAGTAAAGCAATTAACTCAGGTTAATTTTAGTCATATCCATATTACAGAACATTCATAAAGTATATCTCAGGTTGTATTAGTATAGTAATCCATTGTTTAATATCTGTCATTAAAAACATTGACTGTAATGTTGTGAATTAAACATGTGAATAATTATACTAGTTATACAATGATGAACATATTGTTTAATCTTAACTATTAATAAATCACCAGAAACTTATGGCATGTGTGTGGCACACATTACATTTCCAATAGAGGGCACTGCTTTATGACATTCCCCAGGAGAAGTCAAAGAGGAACAGTGAGGAAAAGATCAAGTTTTCGTGAAAGAGAATGTCCCAAAGACTCTTGTCATGGCCCCCAGGACCTCATTATTTCTCAGACTGTAGATGATAGGGTTGAGCATGGGGGTGAGGATAGTGTAGAAGACAGCCAGAATCTTATCTTCTGTGGGTGTACGGAGACTCCTAGGTCGAAGATAAGTATAGGCAAAAGGTACATAGTAAAATGTCACCACAGTTAAGTGAGTTGAACACGTAGTGAAGGCCTTTTTCTTTCCCTCTTTTGAGCGCATACGGAAGACAGCAAAAAAGACCCGTCCATAGGAAGCTGTGATGCCAAGGAAAGGAAGTGGTAGAAACAGGATTGTGCTCACAAATACCATGTACTCATAAACCCAAGTGTCCATACAGGCCAGGGGCAACATGGCAGGGACATCACAGAAGAAATGATTAATGGACCGAGAATGGCAGTAAGGGATGTGAAAGGCATAGACCGTATGTGCTAAAGAGGTAATGGAGCCCAGTGTCCAGGATCCTATGATCATCTTCAGACACATCATTTTGCTCATGCGAATGGGATAATGAAGAGGGTGGCAGATGGCCACAAAACGGTCATAGGCCATGGAGGCCAGGAGCAAGCCCTCAGAACCTGCCATGGTCATAAAGAAAAAGGATTGAACTGCACAGCCCAGTAAGGTAATGCTTTTCTGGCCAGAGAGGAAGTTGAATGCCATCTTGGGAACAGTAGCAGAGACATCCATCAGGTCCATGAGAGAGAGCTGACTGAGGAGAAAGTACATGGGAGTGTGGAGCCTGGGATCCACACGAATGAGGTGGATCATTGTTGAGTTGCCAAGCAAGGCCACAGAGAATATGCAGATGATGAGCAGCAAAAGCAGAAGGCCTGTTTGGTTTTGTGGAAACAACCCTAACAAAATGAAATCACTTGAGCTCTGATTCCATTTCTCCATGAAGACGTATTGCTTTATCCTTCTTGAAATAGAAACTCACAAGCAACATACACCTATCATAGGAAATAGAATGACAGAATAAAGAGAAACTGGTCTGTCATGAATCCTTGCACTGAATTGTTCTTCCTCCAGCACCGTCCTTCTGCTGAACTTATTTTGAAATCTGAGCTGAATGTTTCTTCTGTCTTGCCTCTGGCCAAGTTCTCAGTTCAGAGACACCTGTGTGGTCATTTTAAAACCAAGGGTGGCAACATGAGTAAGATAGCTCACACATTTCCTCCTAGGTAACTCCATGCAAGACCATTACTCAAGATCGTCAAGCCACCTTACAAAACTAAGAAAGCCTCTATCTTCTGCATCACTTACTTCCTGGCCCTGTTCCCATAACTGACCATACTGCACACAGATCCCAGAGATCTCCTTGTGCTCTGCCTCTCACATTCTCTAATGAATCTTTGCCTTTCCTGAAAATAACCTCCTCTCCCAATTCATTGTTCTGGAACTAACAGGATTTCTGTGTGCTCAGATCCACACTAATCATCAGATGCTATTTGTGTGTCCTCACATCCATAAGGGATGCTTTGGTTTGTGTAAATTTTACTGTTATCAACTGAATACATGTTCACAAAGTATTTATACAATAAAACATAATAAATGTCACACATTGTATAATATGTATTTGTATTATATTTTACAATTAAGAATAATGTACAAATATGTCCAAATAGTATAAATGTTGCTTATATGCATTGCTTTCTCCTCTTACTCTGAAATTCTGGTTTTTGTATTCTGTTGGCAGGAGTAAGAAGCCCTTAAAAACCTTTTGACTTGGAAGAAAATGTGCAGAAGTAAATTCTTGACTTTGCATTTGTATTCATTGTTTATGTGTATTTGTGGAGTATTGCATGCCATGGTACTTGTATGGAAGATAGAATACGATTAGGAGAGTCAGTTTCCTTTCTCCATCCTGAATATCAAACTCAGATCATAATGTTAGAGGCAAATGTCTTCATTTGCTGAGACATCTCAGCAGCCCAAATAACAAAGTAATGCCTTGCTCTTTTTTTATTGTTCGTGTCATATATATTTTCCTTGCACACATTAGACTTATTCAACTGAGGTAATAAATAAATATGGCTAATAAAAAAATTATTAGCCATATTTAGGATAAATCAATTAAAACAAGAATAAAATAAATAATTGTTTGGTGCATATATGTATGTATGTAGTTATATATTTCTAAATGTATAAATACAACATCTTCAGTCTATATAATGGTACAGGTATGTGTATGTTTGGAAGAATGATCATTCCATACTGAATAACAAATTGAATTGCAACAGAGCAAGAAAAGTACATGGTAGAGCCTAGATAGAGGAAATGAAAAAAATGGATCTGATATGACTATATTACAATCTGAAATATAAAAGTGTTATCTAAAATGAATAAATGTTCCTGCTAGGATGATTCCTACTTTTCTATAGCCTCTCTCAGTATAGGGCATACCTCAGTAATGGTGTCTCCTACTGCTAGTCTGTGTCATCTGTTTCTTCTCCACTCACTCTCAAACATTCAGAATCCATAATTATGATTTATTATCTCTCCAACACATTTTCTTTCTTCTCTTACCTGGCCTCAGTATAAGCATTCATGTTTTACATGAGTGTGCCCTTATATCAGAGAGAAATACTGAAGACATGGCCTGGATACTGATGTTGAATTACTGATAATTTTCAACACTAAAGAACAGCAAATGGTACTTTTTGAAAATTATTCATATGTGGTAATAAATCACTTGGCATTCTAAATGACTGTGGTGAGCACAAAAAAAGATGTAAAATAGAGCTTGTCACATAGAATGGGAATACAACTTTATAGTTATCAGATCAAGAGATACTGACAACAAGGAAAACATAGACAAGAACATGGCAGTTGCACAGGACCACTTAGCATAGAGCAAATATGAGACCAGAAGAATCCTGTGCTTCCTTATTACCTTTCAACTATAAATGCTTATAAACGGACTGAAAAACATGAAGTATAAGTAAAAACCACAATCACCAACTTTATTATATACCTTCAAAACATCTTCCCTGCTCCTAAATGCCTGCATGCTCTGTTCATTAAGTCATGCAATATCATGCAATCTGTAGCACAATTTAAGACGGTGATAACAATAATAGACAAACAAACTAAAATATATGACCTGATGTTACATAGTAAGTCCTCATATGAGAAAAACATGGTATACAAAAGACAGCTTGATTGGAGCCAGCCCCAAGCCACTAGGTGTCAGCCCTGCATAAGCAGGTCTTGTGAAGTCCACTTCTCTAAGTGATGAACAAAGAAGAGGACTGGGAGGGAAAGTCAAGGAGAACAAAAACAATGAGACTATTGAATGTGAAGGGCAGGTGCCAGGGCAATTGTGTAGGGGGAAAGGACTTGGGATCTGATCTGAATAAGATGCTAGAACAAGGAGAGTGATGTGCTCTTAGGCACATTTCTCAACCCTATTCAGGATGCTCTTATTCAGAAAGGAGCTGAGATGCAGACCATAGAAAGGAACACTAATTAGATAGAATAAGAATATCTGATTAGTGATCAAGATTTAAAAACAGAACCACACATCCCACAAAACCACTGACACATGGGCACTTTAGGACAGTAGGTTGCCTACCTAGACATTGGCTCCTTCCTGAGGATTCACTGATGTCTGCTCCCTGGCACAGCACTTACTTACAGTAGGTTCTCAACCTGTGTGCCTGTTGAAATGAATAAAACATTGTCCTTAGAGGTGATAGATTACAATTGTTCATACTGACATCATTTTGAAAAATCAGTCTTCTACATCATGCCTTGTGAATAAAGAAGAAGCTCTTAAAGGCATTTTCTTTTACATCCTTGAACAAAGATTTAACTATAGAGGAAGAAACATTCCATATGGTCTCACAGGAGGTGTTTCTAATACCCATCTTTGAATATGGAGTCTGCACTAAACTTACATTTTACACATTTGATTTCTATGAAGGGAACATACATATGTATACACTCAGATCACTTCTCACTAGCTCATAAACATGCTTTGGGAACAGTTACAGCAGAAATTATTTTGTTTTCAATGCTTAGAAACTATCATTTTGGCAGATAATTTTCAGGAGGCCAAAGCCAACAATCTCTACATTGATGCTTAGACAATTTCAGTATTTGGTGTGGACTTTATTTAATACAAAGTCTCAGAAAGAATTGCATTTTTAGTAGGTTTTAACTTTAAATCTTCCAGTGGCTGCAAGGCAAATGTAATGCTAGTGTGTCCCTTGATTATTTCAAAAGACATGAAAAACACAGAGTTATTTAATGTTCTGTTGTAAAGATTCTTATTATACAGGAGTGGTACAAATGCATGATGATGGATTAATTTTGCCAAAGTCACAGGTGTGTAAACACAATAGAGACACACAGCAAGAAATCTATAGAACAAAGACCAAACATGAAATTGAATATCAGTCTCTGCTTAGTCTTAAAAACTCCATGGGACTCTCGAGAACATGAACCTCAATGAGCTGTCTGCATTCAACATGTGTTAGGTCCTCCAGAAGTGCCCATTTCTTTCCTCCATTCCACATCTTGGCTCTTGAGAAACCTCAAGACCAGAAAAATTCAGCCTCTTATTTATGGTCACAACCTTCAACAATGACACATTGTAGGATTCAGGTATATTTACATCGATTCTCTCAGTATTTTAAACTAATATGAAAATCATACCTCTAAAATTTCCCCTAGTTATTCTAACCTAAATCAACTATGCTCAGTAACGTCTTCTGGACTTAGTTTACTCAAATATCTTACACTTGTGTTTGGATTTGTGAAAAAAAATGTACCTTTACAATAATGCCATTCCCTGCGGACTCTCTGGGGGTCTTGAGAAGTCTTCATCTCTTGTTCACATCCCTTGCCAAGTACTCCAGAAGACCATCACCCTTTGCAGCAGCCTCACTTGGAGGCTGAAAATCTGCTTCTTATACAAGAACCCCTTCCTCCACCAAAATATCAGGAAAGAAATTTTCAAAAATTGCCTATTATCTTATTTATGATGAAACCAAAAGAACATCATTAATCCTCATTATTATATTGCTCAGGTAAAACATCATTTCTTACTATTTTTAAATGAAACATAAGACATTTTAGACACATTTCCCACACACTATATTGGTGAAAGACAGAATGGCAAATGCTGTATTTTATATGCACAACCTTGGATCACCAAACCTTTAGATGTTCCTCTTTTTCTTCTAATTGATCCCTCATGTCTAAATCTACAGAGACATAGCCTTGGCCATTTCTCTTGACTTGGTAGCTCTGAGGTAGATCAGTTTTGAACTTATAGAAATAAATACATGACAATTGCCACTCCTGTAATCATAGTAAGTCTGAATATAAACTAAGGAGTCTGCATTATTCCAGAAATGGAATTCCAGAAAATAGACTTCATTATTCCAGAATATGACTTGAAACCTGTAAGTGGTGTTTGTCAATAAGTATTAATGTCCCTCATTTTTAAAAGCTGGGCCCCAGAGGAGTACACATATGCTGTGGGATGTATGTTAAATGTGTTGCTCTGATTGGTTAATAAATAAAACACTGATTGGCCAGTAGCCAGGCAGGAAATATAGACAGGACAAGGAGAGAGGAAAATTCTGGGAAGTGGAAGGCTGAGTCGGAGAGACATTGCCAGCCGCTGCCATAACAAACAACATGTAAAGATACTGGTAAGACACAAGCCATGTGGCAAGGTATAGATTAATAAAAAATGGCTTAATTTAAGATAAAAGAACTAGATAACAAAAAGCCTGCCATGGCCATACAGTTTGTAAATAATATGTCTCTGTGTGTTTACTTGGTTGGGTCTGAGTGGCTGCGGGACTGGTGGGTGAGAGAGATTCGTCCTGACCGTGGTGGGCCAGGCAGGACTGGAGAAAACTCCAGCTACACACATATACTGAAACATTGAGCTAGACAGAAATTC